CTTCCCTGTGTCTTCCTTGGCTTTGTCCCTGACGCGCCTGGCTGGCAGTTTTACCACCCCACCTCGCGCCAGGTCTTCGCCTCTCAGGACGTCACCTTTGACGAGTCGGTCCCTTTTTACCGTCTCTTCCCCTACCGCACTGCCCCCCTCCCTCCCCCACCGCTGTTCCTTGCTCCTGGTCCCCCTCCGGTAGACCCCCTTCCCCCTCAGGGTCCTGCTCCTTCAGGTGTCTCTCAGGTAGACCCTCCTCCCGTCGCTGAGCCTGTCGAGGTCACAGGTGACTCAGGTGCTGCTGCAGGTGGTGCTGCTGGGAGTGCTGAGTCTGGGGGTGCTGAGCCTGCGGGTGCTGGGCCTGGGAGTGCTGGGACTGCGGGTGCTGGAGCTGAGGGTACTGTGCCTGAGAGTTCGGCGCCTGGGGGTGCTGAGCCTGGGGGTACTGCGTCTGGGGGTGCTGAGCCTGCGTGTGCGGAGTCTGGGGGTGCTGCGCCTGCGGGTACTGAGCCTGGGGGTGCTGCTACTGAGCCTACGGAGCCTCGGGTTGCTGCGTCTGGGGGTGCTCCGGTTCGGGGTGCTGAGCAGTCTCTCACACCGCAGCAGCTTCGTGACTGGTACGTCCGGCGCTTTCGCCGTCCTAGTGGCTCGGCTGGAGTTGGGGGTGCTGGAGCTGCTCGTCCTGGGGGTACTCGTACTGGGGGTGCTGGAGCTGCCGGGACTGGTTGTTCTGGGAGCACTACGACTGGAGCTGCTGGAGCTGGGGCCTCTGGAGCTGGCGGTGCTAGCGGAGTTGGAGCTGCCGACTCTGGGGGTGCTCTTCCTAGCGGTGCTGCGGACCCTGGGGGTGGCGCTGCTGCTGGTGCTGCGGACCCACCTGGTGGAGCTGCTGCTGGTGCTGAGGACTCGGACGTTGGAGCTGCTGCTGGAGCTGAGGACCCGAGCGGTGGCGCTGCTGCTGGTGCTGGGGACCCGGACGTTGGAGCTCCTGCTGGTACTGAGGACCCGGCCGCTGGAGTCTCTTCTGCTTCTGGAGACGCTGCGCGGCCGCGACCGTACTTCGTACCGCTCCTTCAGCAGGTTCTTGGGCAGGCTCCTCCTCCTTGTCCTCCTCCCTCCGTAGAGTGTCCTTCGCCTGTCCAGCCGCAGTCACAGTTACCGCCTACCTCGCCTCTCCCTGCTCCCTCTCCTTACGCTGGTCCCACAGGAGGTCTTACAGAGCGTCGTGAGCCTGAGTCTCGTCCTGCGTCGCCTGTTCGTCCTGCTCGCACTGGTCGTCGTGTCCGTCGTGAGCGTCCTCCTCCTGTCCCAGGCACTCACTACATGACTCTGCGTCCATCTACTGCTCCTCAGCGTGTCCCTCTACCGTCTCCTCCTGCGTCCTCTTTGCCTGCCGTTCCGGACCCTGAGTCTGACCGGTATCGTGCTGAGCACCCTACTGTCACGCGTCTCCTAGCTACTGTTGTCACTGACCCTACATTTGAGTCCTCGGCTGCGTCTGCTCTGGTCGCTGAGTTGGTTGACTTTGCTGCTGTCTGTCGTCTAGACTACGCTGCTAGCCTTGTTGCTGAGTCTGAGTCTGCGTCTGTCTGTCCTCCGTCCGTCGGGGGTGAGTGTGCTCTTGGCACGGACGTCCTTGAGGACAGGCAGGAGGACTTTGACTCTCTCGCGGCTGCTGTACCTCATCTCGTGGCCTGGTTGCTTGCCCCTGAGGGAGACCCGGATGCACTAGACATCCCCACTCCGCGCACTTACGCAGAGGCGATCTCGGGTCCCTACTCCTCTCAGTGGCAGACAGCCATGGACGCAGAGATGGCATCCTGGAAGTCCACAGGCACCTACGTCGACGACGTTCCCCCTCCTGGGGCGAACATCGTCGATGGCATGTGGATTTTCAGGGTGAAGCGGCCGCCAGGTTCTCCGCCTGTCTTCAAGGCTCGTTACGTTGCTAGAGGCTTCAGTCAGCGTCAGGGGGTCGACTTCTTCCAGACCTTCTCCCCCACCCCGAAGATGACCACTCTTCGGGTTCTGCTGCACGTTGCTGCTCAGCGTGACTACGAGCTTCACTCTCTTGACTTCAGCACAGCGTTCCTGCAGGGCAGCCTGCACGAGGAGATCTGGCTGCGCCGCCCACCTGGCTTTACTGGGTCGTTTCCTCCTGGTACCCAGTGGAGTCTCCGCCGGCCAGTCTACGGTCTCCGCCAGGCGCCACGTGAGTGGCACGACACACTGAGGACTACACTTGCGGCTCTTGGGTTCGCGCCGTCTACTGCTGACCCGTCGCTGTTTCTGCGCACAGACACGTCGCTGCCGCCGTTCTACATTCTCGTGTACGTCGACGACTTGATCTTTGCTACTGCTGACACTGAGGCACTCGCTCGTGTGAAGTCGGAGCTGCAGAAGAGACACACCTGCACTGACCTGGGTGAACTGCGTAGCTACCTTGGCTTGCAGATCACCCGGGACAGAGCTCGCCGCACCATCACCCTGACTCAGTCACACATGGTGCAGCAGGTCCTTCAGCGCTTCGGCTTCCAGTTCTCCTCACCACAGGCCACACCTCTGGCTACCAGCCACTCGCTCTCAGCTCCACCTTCGGACGAGTCCGTAGAGCCGAGTGGCCCGTACCCAGAGCTTGTAGGCTGCCTCATGTACCTGATGACTTGCACGCGACCTGACCTCGCGTACCCTCTTAGCATCCTTGCTCGTTACGTTGCGCCTGGGAGACACAGGCGAGAGCACTGGGAGGCTGCTAAGAGGGTGCTGCGTTACTTGTGCAGTACATCAGGCATGGGGCTGGTGCTTGGAGGACACGACAGAGTTGTCCTCACTGGTCACTCGGACGCTTCTTGGGTGGACGACCTGGCTACGCAGCGGTCGTCACAGGGCTACACCTTCAGCCTTGGCTCTGGTTCTGTCTCGTGGCGGTCCACCCGCTCTTCTTCTGTTCTCGGCTCTAGTTGTGAGGCTGAGATCTACGCCACAGCCATGGCTGCACAGGAGTTACGCTGGCTCACCTACCTGCTGACTGACTTGGGAGAGCGGCCTAGTTCTCCTCCAGTTCTGTACGGTGACAACAAGGCGGCCCTTGCCTTGTGTCAGGAGCACAGACTGGAGCACAGGACGAAGCACATTGCTCTTCGCTACTTTCTTGCTCGAGAGCTTCAGCAGCGCGGTCAGCTTCGGCTTGTGTACGTGGACTCGAAGGCCAATACTGCTGATATCTTCACCAAGGCGCTCCCGCCTAGTGATCATCAGCGGCACTATACTTCTTTAGGCCTTGTGTCCACGTTTCCTCATTTGCTTACTGCTTGACTTTCTTTGTACTGTACTTTATATATATCTTGCTGCTTGTCCTGTTCTATATCTAGCACTGCATGTGAACTGGCCTTGTGGCCTTTGCTTGTGCTCGGAGTGTGGTGACGTTGTGATCCACCCTGGGCTTTGCTTTGCTTTGCTGGACTGGTCTTGTGACCCTTTGTTCTCCCCCACTTTGCCTATGGGGGTGTGTTAAACTGTATTATGTTGGTAGGCTGTAGTGGGGTAGCCAATATGGGGTACAACCCCAACTAGGGTTTGCTACTTGTACCCAATTCTTCCATTCAATGCACTCATTCTTGCCTAGTTCTGTTGACAGAAGAGTACCAGCAGCGCGAAGATATCCGCTCCCATAGCCCATGGCACAATCCCGCGGATAAGCAGCCTGCTTGTCGGTTGCTTCAGACTGACCTCCGAGGTGACTTACAAATCTACTCAAGAGTCATACGCGGCACGGGCACTTACCAGCAGCGCGAAGATATCCGCCTCCACGGCCCACGGCGCAGTCCTGCGGATAAGCACCATGCTGGTTGGCTGCTCCGGACTGACCTCCCTCCCGCGCCCGCGCCACCCGCCGAACCTCCCCCGCCTGTACGGCGACCTCGAGCGCGACACAGATCTCCCCCTCCTACGTCGCAGCGACCGCGACCACGATCGCGACCGTCGTCTGCGAATCCTGGGCGACGGGCTCCTACGCGTGGGCGACGTGGACCCAAGCTTCCTCTCGCGGACCGAGAACCTGGACCGGCGACGGGGAGGGGAGCGCGACAGGGACCTCCCAGTCCCCCGGCAACGGAAGTACAGCAAGCGGGAGCGAGAGCGCCGACGCTTCTCCCCCGTGCGGTCCTCCGCCTTCGTATCCTTGTCCCCCTCCGCGGGCACCCCTTCCGCGCGCGCCGCTTCTGCTTGCTCCGCGAGCCCCAGGTTGACGGCGCCGAGCTTCACACTGTTCGTGGCAGCGGCAAGTAACGCGTCCTTCGTTACAGCGGCAGACGCGGCGTTCGAACCGCCAAGAGCCGCGACCTGCGCCGCAAGAATCGGGTTACTCGCCAGCAGAGGGTTCTTCGCCGCAGCAGCCGCCGCAATCGCCGCCGCGGTAGAGCTCGTTCCGCCGGATGTCGTCGATCCGGTGCAAGAAGCGCAGAAACGGCAGATCTCGCCGCAAGGATTTGAGACATAGCAGATGTAGCAGCGCCGGTCTTAGCATCCGCACCGGCCGTCTTTCCCATTACCATCTCCACCTTGGGATTCGATATGCGCGACGACTCGTCTTCGTAGATCCAGCTGGGTGCCGGTTTAAGCGGGTCGTTGTATAAGCTCTCCGGCGGCGCGTAGCGATTGAGCGACGGCTTCGACGAACCATCGCGATCGCGATCCCGATCCCGATCACGGTCGCGATCCTGATCCCAGTCGCGATCGCGGTCGCGGTCCCGGTCGCGGTCGCGATCGCGGCCACATTCGTCCTTGTCTCTTCCTTGCTCCTACTCCGGCTGCTGCTGCTAACGTTGCTTCCACGGCGCTGCCGCGGACGGATTGGGTCGTCCCTAAGTAGGCCGCTTGCGGCCTGGCATTTACTGAGCTGGCGGATACTGCCCCTGAGGTGACAGCTGTCCCTGCGCCTGCCACGACGGAGGGGCGTACCCGGCCGGCGGCTGTTGCGGCTGGAGATGCGGCGGCTGCTGTTGGTGCTGCTACGGTGGGGGGAAACCAGGTGCCGGCCCGCCATATGCGGGTGGGTGCGGGCTGTAGCTTGTCTGCGGGGGAGGCGCACCGCCGCACGGTGCACCGCCTCCGTAAGGCTGGTACTGCGGCGGCGGCTCGTTATAAGATGCTGGTGGGGGACCTCCGCCGTAAGGGGGAGGCGGACCCTGGCTGTACGACGGAACCTGAGGCGGTCCCTGGCTGTATGGAGGATAAGAGGCTTGCTGCTGAAACTGTTGCTGCGGCGACAGCGGTTGTTGCTTCTGCGGCGGCGGTTGTTGTTGCTGCGGAGGTGGGTAGTGCTGTGAAGGCGGCGGCTGATTGTATCGCTGATCCATGGGTGGTGGATTGGGTGACTAGAATGGGAGAAACGGAGAAACACGAGGAAAAAAGGTAAACCGAGAGGAACCGCCTAACAAATCGACTGGCAAAAATAGGTCTCACTGAACCTAACACGAAAAGGGCAAAACTAGGCTTCACGCAACTAAAGTTTGGAGGACATGAAAGCGGAAAATCATTCGTGAAAATCAAGAAAATAGACGACGGGCGTTTCCCCCCCCCCCAAAAAAAAAAAAAAAAAAAAAAAAAAAGGAAGGGGGGAGCTGAGCAGCAGAAGCAGACCAAGCAGCAAGGAAACGCTGGGAGTTAGTAGCAGACGGACCCTCTACTGACAGGTCACGCCTCTAGCCCGACCCATCCGACCCTCACCTAGTCATTGTGCCGGTTCATGCACTCGACCACACGCGGCTGAATAAGGAGGGTACAATGGTAGACAGCCCCATACTGCTTCGCGGGAAAATTCACACCGACTTCGTAGACGGGGGGTCCAGCCACAGCCTGATCAACACCGCCACTACACGGAGACTGAAACTGACACTGGACCGATGCTTACCTGAGATGGACGCACGACTGGTCGACGGCACGCCACTGGTGATACGGGAACGCGTGGACTCAGTTCGGATGTGATGCCGGGGTAACTTCACATTCACCCAGGAAATGTTGGCAACGACCCTCGACGGGACCGATATTTTACTCGACCATGATTGGTTGCAACGATTCAACCTGCAAATTGACTGGACGGTAGGAGACTGCACCGTGCGAGTGAACGGTAACAACATCGCCCTACCTCGTTTGGAGCTCGCCTGCGTCTTCGTCGGTGCGTGTCAACGCGATCACGATGAAACGCGCCGTAGCGACAGGAGATGACGTGCGGTTGTCATCTAGGAAGCCGAGGCAGCAGACAAGCTCAGTGATTTACAGAAACTGCTTGTTGACATATCGGGTGATTTGGCAGCTATCCTAAAGCAATACAACGGGATATTTCCGGATGACTTGCCGGAGGGACTGCCACCTCAACGATCGCACGACCATAGGATAGAACTAGAACTAGGGGCACAGCCAACAGTACTACGACAGTTCCGACTGACCCAACCCGAACTGGACGAACTGAGGAAGCAGTTGAATTACTTGCTCGAGAAACAGTTCATTTGCCCGAGTTCGTCGCCCTTCAATGCACCGATATTGTTCACACCGAAAAAAGACGGGGGTATTCGCATGTGCATAGATTACCGCGTGCCGAACAGAGTTTCCATCAAGTCTTGTTACCGCATCCCGCGAGCCGATTAATTGATAGACGAGCTTTGCATAGCCCGAATCTTCTCGAAATTCAATCTTCGAGGAGGTTACCACAAGATCCACATCAACCCACCTGACTGCCCAAAAACTGCCTTCCGCACCCGCTACGGATCATTCGAATACACCATCATGCCCTTGGGACTGACCAACGCTTCCGCCACCTTCCAAATTACCATGAACGAGGCTTTCTGTCCACTGTTAGATAAATGCGTAATCGTCTGCTTAGACGATATACTGATCTACAGCCCGGACAGAGGACTGCACCTAAGGGACATCAAAGCAGATTTTATAATATTGAGTGAGAACCAACTACTGACAAAAGCGCCGAAGTGTGAGTTTCTAAAAGAAAGACTGGAGTTTTTAGGGCATATTATTTCAGCCGACGGAATGGCATGCGCCAACCAATCTGACTGAGCTTCAGAGTATTCTGGGGTTCGTCAACTATGTGCGACGGTTCGTCCCCAACATGGCACAGTTGACTGCCCTATTGACTGACCTGCTGAGGAAGGGGGTTGAGTACACGTGGGGGGAGAAAGAGCAAGCTTACTTTTCGACCCTCAAGAAAATTTTGAACTCGCCGCCCGTACTGCACATCGCCGACCCGCGCCGCCCGTTTGAACTGATCACCGATGCAAGCAACATTGCTGTGGGAGCAGTACTGTTGCAGGACTTCAAGAACGGCCTTCAGCCAATCGCGTACGAGTCCCGCAAGCTTCACCAGCCCAAAAGCAACTACCCGATACACGACTACAAGATGCTGGCGATCATGCACACGTTCAAACTGCGGCGATGCTATCTCACAAGAGCCGATGTGACAGTACGGAGATCACTACAGTACCTCCGCGCCCAATCAAGCCTCAATCCGAGACAAATTTGCTGGTTGGACTATTCGGAGTCCAACTTCCATTACACCGTCACGTATAAAATAGGAGCATCGAATATCGCCGACGCCCTCACTCGCCCCACTGCCCAACTTCACGCCATCCTACTCGCCCAAACCAACCACCTATTAATTGGCCTATTCACCCAAAGATACCGCGCCGACTTATTTTTCACGACAAGAAATTCACGGCAGCTGATAGAGGCAAAAGGGGTGTATTACGTAAAATCCGATACCAATCGCATTTAGGTACCAGCGTATTCACTACTACGGGAACTGCTATTGCAAGAGACACACGATGGCATTACCTTGGGTCACTTCGGGGTAGGAAAAACGAGACAGCAACTTCAGTGGTATTACTACTGGCAGGAGCTGTTGACCGACATACAGCACCACGTGGAATCGTGCCCCATGTGTCATGTGATGAAGTGCTCGCGCAAGAGAAAGGCGGGTCATTTGCAGCCAATCCCACCGCCTGGGCGAGCTTGACAGCAGGTTACCATGGATTTTGTCACGGGTTTACATTCGGGTCCCGGATTTAACGACGCAGTTATGGTCGTCATAGACAGACTGACGAAAATGGCTCACTTCGCTGTGGTGCAGGAAATCAATCTCAGCTGAAGTCACCGCTCGCTAGTTCATCGCAACCGTCGTCCGACTGCGCGGGATACCAACCGCGATAATCAGCGACCACAACACGAAGTTTACTGGCAACTTCTGGAAGAACGTCTGGGAGCAGTTTGGGACCTTGCTACAATTCAGCTCGTCGTACCACACTGAGACTGACGATCAGACGGAGCGAACAAACCAGACCATGGAGCAGCAGATTCGTACCACATGCAATGACCCGACAACATGGGAGTAGCAGTTGCCGCTGATCGAGTTTGCCTACAACAACGCCACGTCAACGACGACGCAGCAGTCTCTGTTCTACCTGAACTACGGGCAAAATCCAACAGTGCCCATGATGCCGAGCCCGGACAACCTAACGCCACCAGATCAACAGTTCGCTGAGAATCTGCAAGCTGCTCGGATGCGCGCGGTAGATGCAATTAAAAAAGGCCAACATCATCGCGAAAAGAAATGCTGACCGCCACCACCGACCGGTAACATATCAGACAGGAGACTACGTACTGCTCGACACATCGATTTTAAGACTGTCCGTCGTACCAAAACTTCGACCGCGCTATCATGGACCTTTCCAAATCAGCCACATGGTCACCCTAGTTACTGCCCACCTACTGTTACCGACATACTGGTACATTAGCTTATCATTCCACGTCAGCTTGCTTTGCTCGTACATCCCAACCGCAAGCCAACTACCACGATAGCGCCCCACCATCCATGACTCGCCCTGCATCAGAGCCGATCGTCGAGCCCGAAAAAAAGCCATTGGATTCGTCACCTCCACGGGAATCAGGTGGATCGAGTTTCTCGTTCGCTGGAAGGACCGCACACCAACCGAAGACAGTTGGGTGCCCCTGGCCAACGTTGAAAATCACCCTATCCTACAATGTACCTGAGAAGCTGGGGTTTTCGTGATATACACCCACTCGCATAGCAGAGGGGGCTTCAACACCGCGTACAGCAGCAGCCGTTGCTCGCCCGTTACTGCTAATGGGGCTTCGCCAACCTTCACACTCAATATTCACCAAACCATGCACCGCTGGCCCGGCCGTGTCAGCCTACGCTTCGGGACTAGCTAGCGCGTACAATGCTCATGCCTTCGCTCATACTATGTACTCGTTTGACACCCTAGTGCAATTCCCGCTACTTCGTTCCATTGCACCCTTAACATCTGGTGATCTCAAACCACAACAACGAGAGTTGCGATTTCGGGTAGCCAACTTCATTTTCATCTAATGAGAGCTGCTCCGTCCTTATTGTCTCCAACCATGCAAGCTTATCAGAGACAGTCCGGTCTCGACGAACGGCTTTTGTTTGCACCCCGCATGCTACTAGAGTAGATGTGACATGGTCCAGCGTATGGTGCCTCGTGTTCGTTGGCGTTGGGAAAACGGGAACGAATACTTCCGGCAACTCGTCATCAGCCACGGTCCCCGCACTAGTGCCAGCATTGCAAGGACGTGATGCAGTATTGCTAGAAGATGCGTCTGAAGTCTGAACTACAGGTGCAGAGGGAACGTGTTGTATTTGACCGTCACTCCACCTACATTGCTTGCTTGGATCCCACGAGCAAACAAAATGCTGATGATCGTAGAGTGGACCATAGCTGTTGTGTTCTACATAAGAATGTGTGAAGCACCATGCTCTCTTACACTACTCCCATTCAAGCAACAATTGGGGTCGTAGGCAAGATCTCGTCAACATTCACATTCTGCTCAGTTTGGACAGTGTGGTGGTGAATGCGTTTTCGAGCTCGGTGAGGCGGGGAATGCGCGAACGTGAAGTCCCCATAACATTTTGCAATGCTCTTCTTAGATAGTGATAGTATAAAAATTGGAAGTATAGTAAGGGTAGGGGTACAAGTACTAGTGTTGAGCAAATTGTTGTACCTTATGCAGAGAACCTCACTATAGACTAGCACAATTAACTAAGAAATATAACATTTGACACACCCCCATAGGCTAAGTGAGGGGCATATAAAACAAGCAAGAGAGACAAATGGCCACAAGACCAGTCAAGAGAAGCAACAACACAAAGCTAAGGGTGGATTACGAAGTCACCACACAGTCTGAGCACAAGCAAGAGGCTACAAGGCCACTACAAATACAAGCAGGGAAAGAGAATGCAACAACCGAGGGCCTACCTCAACAAGGCCTAGCTGACAAGCAGAAGGGCCTTGGTGAACATGTCTGCTGT